GGTTCAGCACTGGCATTCCACGGGAATGTCCCCATCCTACATCTCAGCTGGAATGGAAACCGCACGAGGATAATCAGTATAGAAGTTAGAGGATGAGAGGGGGAGGGGGAGGAGGAGGAGGAGGAGGAGGAGGAGGAGGAGGAGGATGAGGAAGAAAATGAGCAAGATGATGATGATGATGATGATGATGATGATGATGATGATGATGATGATGATGATGATGATGATGATGATGATGAGGATGAGGATGAGGATGAGGAGGAGGAGGAGGAGGAGGAGGAGGAGGAGGAGGAGGAGCAGGAGCAGGAGGAGGAGGAGGAAGATGAAGTTGAGGGGGAGGAGGATGTGGAGGACACCCCTCCTCCGCCTCGTGATCCTTCCCTATTTCCCGCCGCTTCCCTCGCTTACCCCTCGTACGGCAGGTTCGCGTCGTGCTGACCAGCGGCGACTCCAGCGCGGGCGTTTAAAGTTGAACGCCGCCCGTGGCCCAGAGGCTCATCCTTGAACGATCTGACCTCGTTGAAAGGGCCTATCGTTCAAGTGTGAACGATCCCCGCGGTGTGCTAACGCCGGGGTCGGCACGACGCGAACCTGCCGTACCTCCCTCCCCGTGCTCCACCCTCCTCGGACCCTCCGTCCCGGACCTCCGACGTCTTGGATGTTTCGGCGCGCGGGCCTTCGAAAACCTCTCGACCCCTTGACCGAAATGGGCATCTCGAGATGCCGTTTGTGTTCGACCCCTGGGCAAGAAGCGGTGTCCACACGTCGGAGGATCTCGCGGATTTCTCGGATCGGCGCTGGACCCTAGCGCGCGGAGCGCGCCAGGGCGGCGCCGGAGGCGCCGCCAGGGGGCTCCAGCGACTATCCTAGAAATCCGCGCGGACCTCCGAGTTTGTATGTTTATGTCATTGTTCGTTCCCCTAAGACGTGGTGTCCAGACGTCCACCACGGAGAAGCACGCCCGTTTAGTGTTTCGGTATTTCGGAGACGGTTGTTGTTTGTTAATTTCTCTTCAGCCCAGGTTGTGCTCGACTGGAAGATGGGCGACGTGGTCGGCAGGTACACCCTGCGGCAGCCCATGGACCAGATAGCGTGTAACCCGCTCGACAGGACGCTCCCTCCCTGCGCGGAGACGACGCCCCCCCCAGAGGAAGGGCACGACGAAACCAAAGAATTCTCTGCCTGGCTCTTCGGGCGACGAAATCTATACGTATCCTCCCGGGCCAAGGAGCCGTGTAGGCGCTCTCCTGGCCAACTCAGGAGGGCGCGGCGCACACACCGCTGCTGGATGCAGGATGGGCCTGGCCAGGCAGCAGAGGATCCGTACGGATCTCGCCGCCCAAGCTGCAGAACATGGTGCGACCCCTCCTGGCCTCTCAGGCCAGGCCCCTCACGTTGAGGAGGCGGAAGTTGGGCCGCGATTCGTGAGACATGATATCCGTCAGAGGTCAGAGGTGATTCGTGAGACACGATGTCCGTCAGAGGTCGGGTGGCACAGTTTCGCCCAAGACCTTCTGTTGCAGACAATCGCAACCTCGCGAACGATCGTGGCCAGAGCCCTGCACCCCCTTTTCCTGCTCGGGTGTGCCGAGCTGGAATTGTCCGTGATGGCCCCAGGGCCCGAGGCGAGGCCAAATCGCCCGTTGTGAAAATGCGACGTCTGGACCTCCTCCTCCTCCTCCTCCTCCTCCTCCTCCTCCTCTCCTCCTCCTCCCCCTCCCCCTCCTCCTCCCCTCTCTCTCCTCCTCCTCCTCCTCCTCCTCCTCCTCCTCCTCCCCTCCTCCCTCCTCCCCTCCTCCTCCTCCTCCTCCTCCTCCTCCTCCTCCTCCTCCTCCCCCCTCCCTCCTCCTCGTGAGACATGATCTCCGTCAGAGGTCGAAGTGCACCACGGCAGCCGCGAGGCAGCGACAGCGAGAGACCGTCAGGTCAGCAGGCCCCAAAACGCCCTGCGGCGCCCGTCCCTCCATGGGCCGTGCCAGTGATAGGAGCACCGGCCCCCCGAGAGGCGGGCATGCGCGCCCCAGGAGAGGCGGGTGCAGCGCAGGCCCGGGAAATCCGCGCGGGCATCCGAAGATTTCCTGGGTCACCGCCGGGGGCGCAGACATTCGTCGGCGAACTAGGGGGGAAGTGGAGGGTTTCTCCGAAGGGCTTAGGCGACCCGTTCTCCTTCTCCTCCTCCTCCTCCTCCTCCTCCTCTTTCTCCTCCTCCTCTTTCTCCTCCTCCTCCTGCCTCCTCCTGCAGGTGGCGGATTCGTCGAGAGTCGGCGGGCGAAGGAACCCCTTTGGGCACGCTCCTCCTCCTCCTCCCTCCTTCCTCCTCCCTCCTCCTCCTCCTCCTCCTCCTCCTGCCCTCCCTCCCTCCTCCTCCTCCTCCTCCTCCTCCTCCTCCTCCTCCTCCTCCTCCTCCTCCTCCTCCTCGGGTCGCCCGCGGTCCCGCGGGAAACCGTGCAGGGGGGGTGGAAAAGAGAAGGCCTTCTCAGAAGGCGGCCTCGGAGGCGCCTTCTCAGGAGTTATCAGATGCCCTCGCGCCTTTTGAGACGGCGCTCTCAGAAGACCCGGGGCCTTCCGAGCCTTCTGAGAAGAAGGCCCGCCCCTTCTCACTTCCCCCTTCTGGGCTTGCCGCCGAGCAGAGATGAAATCGGCCGTCGCGCGTCGCGGCCTTGGCTAGAGATGTGCCCTTCTCTCGGGGGGGGCCGCGCGGGGGTGCGCAGAACGCGTGGCACAGTTTCGTCCACGATCCGATGCTGCAGACACTCGCAACATCGCGAAGCATCACGACCAGAGAGAGTCCTACACCCCATTGTTCTGCCGGGTGTTCCGAGCCGGATTGGTCCGTGATGGCCCCAGGGCCCGAGACGAGGCAAAATCGCCCGTTGTGAAAATGTGACGCCTGGATCTCCTCCTCCTTTTTCTCCTTCCTCCTCCTCCTCCTCCTCTTTCTCCTCCTCCTCCTCTTCCTCCTCCTATTTCATTACCAGCGATATAAGTCCATGGGGGCTGACTTATGGTACTGCCTTGCTGGGCGCAGTCGGAGCCCTGCACAGCACATCGCTACCATAGGTCAGCCGACCCTCTTCGACAGTTGAGGTAGTGAGGAATCACCCCCCATAACAATACATGTATGTATGTAGGTGTATAGATATGTGTATGTATATATGATCATGATTCTATTTCCACATTCACTTCTATACGTATACGTCCCAGCACCCCATCCTCCAGCGAACGATCACTACGATGACCCTCCTCCTCCTCCACCTCCTCTTCCTATCACTCCTTCTCCCGCTCCTTTTCCTCGTCCTTCATATCCTCATCCTCATCCTCGTGTTCCTCCGCCTCAGCGTCCTCATCAGACATAGTTCAGCCTCCCCATCGCCCAGGCATTCCTTCTCGCCTTCCTGTTCCTCCTGCCCCTCACCCTGCTTCGTCTCCTCTTCCTCGTCCTCCTCCTCCTCCTCCTTCTCCTCCTCCTCCTCCTCCTCCTCCTCCTCCTCCTCCTCCTCCTCCTACCCCTCACCCTGCTTGCTCTCTTCTTCCTCGTCCTCATCCTCTTCCTCCTCACCCTCCTAATTTTCCAGCGTGGGTTGTTGACCATGCTCCTCCCGCAAGTTTTGTTGGCGAAGGAGGCGGAGAAGGAATATGATGATGAGGAGGAGGAGGAGGAGGAGGAGGAGGAGGAGGAGGGACGGAGAGACCACCCAGCACCCCAGCTCGACAGCGATTGATCGCTCCGATGATCGTCTTCCTCCTGTTTCTGCTCCTCCTCCTGTTCGTCTTCCTCCTCCTCATCCTCCCCTTCCCCATCCTCCTCCTGTTCGTTGTCCTCCTCTTCCTCATCCTCCTCCTCTTCATCATCATCCTTTTCATCATCATCCTCCCCCCCTCCTTTTCCTCATCCGCCTCATCCTCCTCGCCCTCTTCTTCTTCATCCGTCTCGGCCTCTCCGCCGACTGGCCAGGAGGGCATGAGCCTCACTACGATTGCAGGCCAATGGATTGCAACCCAACCGATCTCAGCCACATCTATTTCAATGCAGTCGGTTGCAGCCGAAACGAGTGCAGTCTTGTTCGTCCTGCTTCTTCCTCTTCCTCCTCATGTCCGAGGATTCACCCGTCTCCTCTCGGTTGCACCATAGATCGCGCCTTCAGCGGCCGAGAATACAACCGTCTCCTATTGGTCTTGCCAGAGGTTGCGCCTTCGGCCGTCAAGAATAACACCGTCTGCCAACGGTTGCTTCATAGGTTGATCAGGGGGAGGAGGGCGAGGAGGACGAGAGGAGGAGGAGGAGGAGGAGGAGGAGGAGGAAGAGGAGGAGGAGGAGGAGGAGGAGGAGGAGGAGGAGGAGGAGGGGGAGAGGAAACGGAGGAGGAGGGGAGGGGGGATTTTGAGGATGAGAAGAGAGATGGGGGGGGGCGGAGAGAAAGAGGAGGAGGGAGTGGATGAGGGAGGAGGATGGAGACGATAGCAATGGGGAGGAGGAAAGAAGTTGCGTTAAACAAAGACAAACAAGAGTCGGAGAGGATGGAAGTGAAAGGAGGAGGAGAGGGGGAGGGGAGAGGAGGAGGTGAAGAGGAGGAAGGGAGGGGGAGGAGGAGTATGGGAGAGACGAGGACGATGAGGAGCTGGTGCGACAGATGCAAAAGAGAGGAGAGGAAGAAGAGGAGGAAGAAGCGAAGATGAGGATTATGAAGAGGCTGAGGAGAGAGCGGAGGAAGAAGGAGAAGGGGGGAAAACGCAGGCAATAGCAGCACATGGCAATAACGGCAACGAAGCCATGCTGTTCACATGGCTTGTTTTGTTTTTTTTATTGCGGTCGGCGATATTGCCAAGCACTGCTATTCGCAGCTTGTTTCTGGTGGGTTTTCAGAGTTTTCAAAACTGCTTCGCTAGGAACGTCTACCGGACCTCTTGAAACCAGAAAAACCCAAGGCCACAAAACATTGTCAATCGTATGTTTGTTGGTTTTCATTGGGTTCCAAAAATCAGAACAAAACTTGTGAATAGCATGGTCTCCTGGCCAGAGGGTCACCACACACTGCTGTTCAAAGTTTTTTCTTGGTTTTTCGGCGACTGCGAGATTCTTGGCAAAGTGGGCAGATCCTTTGAAACCCAACAAATTAAAACACCTGTGAGTAGCAGCGTTCGGTGGCATCACCGACCAACACAACCCAACACACTTGTGAAGAACATGGGTTCGGTTCGTGGTAGCCCTCCTCCCGCTAGTTTTTTGGCGGAGGCGGAGGAGGACGAGGAGGGGGAGGAGAAGGAAAGACAGTGGAGGAGTAAGATAAGTTGGGGGAGGAGGAAGAGGAGGAACGGAGAGAACGCGAGAAAACGAGGAAGCGCAAGGATAGAGCCACATGAGATGCTGGGGGGCAGCTGACCATATATATACACATACATACATACATACATACATACATACATACATACATACATATATACATACATACATACATACATACATACATACATACATACATACATGCATACATACATACATACATACATACATGCATACATACATACATACAGACAGACAGACATACATACATACATACATACATACATGTATGTATGTATGTATGTATGTATGCATGCATGTATGTATGTATGTATGTATGTATGTATGTATGTATATATCTATGTGTGTATGTATGTATGTATGTATGTATGCATGCATGCATGCATGCATGTATGTATGTATGTATGTATGTATGTATGTATGTATGCATGCATGTATGTATGTATGTATGTATGTATGTATGTATATATACATATATACACGCTGAAACACAACTACAAAAACAACGGGGGCGCGTTACGAGGGTCTGGGGCGTGGTTTTGGTATACACAGTGCTCTCCCATGGGGCACAGTTCTTTCATACCAAACGTGGCTCCACGCGATGGAGTCCGACTGGGGTGGGGATGGTATGGTACACAAACAGATCTTGAGGAATAAATGAGCGACGCAGAGGAACGGGTCCGACTGCGCCGACATTCGCGCGTAAGTTGCCCGCGTCAGTCGGCCACGCCCAGAAGGGGGTATGGGAGGGGGGAGGGCTTTTCAGAAACACCCATGCTGCTTAGAAGGCGCGGGCCATGTCTGTAGATGTGAGGCCGGGGCCTTCTAATCGGCAGCCTTTTTCTAAGAAGCCCCCCCCCGACCCCCTTCCGCGCGCCGCCAAGCAAGATCGCGCGTACGCGCTCTCGCTCCCCACGCGGTATGCCGCGCTGGCGGTCCGCGTAAGCCGCGGCGGACGGTCGGTGTGCCACCCCCCGTATAGCCCGCTGCCTTGCGTCGCTCAAAGGGGGAAACCAATAGATACCGATAACCGCTGCTCCCGGGACCTCTCCTGGGTTGCGTTCCGACCAGGATTTCGATGCGGATTCCAGCGGTGACGACGAGGGGCTCCCAGGAGGCCCCAGGGGGGAGAACAAGAGCGAAGGGTAGCGGTATGGGTACACTTTCCTCCTCTCGCTCCCTCTCCTGCTCCTCGTCCTCCTCCACCTCCCCGTCCTCCTCTACCTCCTCCTCCTCCTCCTGTTCCTCCTCCTTCTCCTTTTCCGCCTCCTCCTCCTCCTCCTCTTCCTCCTCGTCCTTAGGATCCCACATGCATGGATTATTCTTCTTCTTCTTTGGGCCTTCTTTCGGCGCTCTGGGCATGCCCCGTGCCCTCTGCCGCTGCCGAGTGGCGGCTCCCGCCCGGCGGGGGCCCGGGCCCGGGACCCGCCACTGCGCGCTGGCAGCGAAGGCCCATGCGCGCGGGGGGCCGACGACGACGACGACATTGACGTCGACGACGTCGATCACGACGACGACGATAAAGAGGCCGACGACGTCGATCACGACGACGATGACGACGTCGATGACGACGACGGCGACGACGACGACGACGAGGAGGCCGACGACGTCGATCACGACGACGACGATGACGTCGATCACGACAACGACGACGTCGATGACGATGACGACGACGATGACGAGGAGGAGGCCGACGACGTCGATCACGACGACGACGACGACGATGAGGCCGACGACGTCGATCACGACGACGACGGCGTCGATCACGACGACGACGACGACGACCATGACGACGACGACGACGACGACGACGACGACGACGACGACGACGCCGGCGATCACGACGACGACGATTTCGACGACGTCGATCACGACGGCGGCGACGACGACGATGATGATTGCGGGGGGGCATTTGTATTCGGCGATTTGAACGGGTGTCAGTATTGCTTAATTCTCATCTTTTCCTTGGGTGGGGCATGTCCCCCTACAGGCGGATTTTGGACGAGAAATGAACGACATATTCCGCAAGTGCCTGAAGATATCCAGGCATTGTCAATCTATCAGTCGTCCCCCTATGATGTTTTGACTACATTTTTAATATTCCTCGTGCAGGGGGACATGCGCGACTTGACCCTGTCCCCTTCAGGCCATGGTGTCTCGGCCATCTCAGCACCCCGGTCTGGGAGACGGCCCTCGAG